CAAAACCCAACTCTTATGCCATTAGAAAGAGGATCATGAAAAACCTATAAAAAAATGGTTCAAGAAATTTTAGTTCGCTCATAAAGCTAAAGTCCGCTTGCTCTAGCAAAAAATGCCCACTGTGCGTGGTTACATGTTTGGTCACAATGGGAGCTTATTCACATGTTCTCGTTTATTTTTATAACACAGCAACAATATGTTCTCCAATGCCTGGCTACGATGTATTTTTTGCCTGGTTTTCAGCATTATTTTGCACCCTATTGCCGCCAATGTTGATGGTAATTTTTGGTATATTAACCATATACAATGTCAAACGTATTGGAAGACATTCAGTAACTGGCGATAGCTTGAGACGGTGTTCTATACCTCGAAAAGATTATCATTTAATATCAATGGTTTTGATTCAAGTTCTGGCAACTATTCTGTTAACGTATCCATATGGTATTAGTCGTTTGTATGTCGCCTTTACAATTCATAAAACGAAGAGCGTAGAAGAAAATTTTCTTCATGATTGTTTTAGATTATTAAAATACATAAATCATGTGAACAGCTTTTATATATTTACTTTGTCAACAAAAGGTTTTCGAAATGAACTTGTACAGATTAAATATGAATTACTTAAAACATGGAAACGCCATTTGAACCGTCGGCAAGAAGAAAAATGAGATTTATCGTTTGACCTGATCCAATTTATTATATCTGATTGATTATTTACGTTCTGCACACTTAACATATCTTCATAGAAAATACTTTAATTAAGAGTTTAATAAACAGCACTACTGTCTAAGTTTTCGAATAAAGAAAACAAACAGCGACAGATCGATAATCAGGAAAGTGTGACTTGTGTGCCTAGAAAAGATGAAAGGTTTAGTCAGTAATTCATTTTTCTGCTATCTTCTTCAGCTGCGTGTTCCCAGAGTTTTTAATCGAATTATTTGCTACTAAGAAAACACGATTTTTCTTTCCCCCATTTGTTATCATTATTGAAACAGTCTAACACATCCCGATTCCTGATGATTCATAATTATTGCGGTGTTCACAATCTCTCTTGTTTCACCAGGTGTGTTCTCTTTATGAAATTATTACTTATGGCTGAGATATTGATTTATTATTACACAGTTTTAGCCATAAAAGTTCCTTTATAATATAACGGAAATAATCAAACGTTTATATCTTACTTGTTGTAAACTGTATTTATTTAAATAAACAAAAAGTAAAAAGAAGGAACATATTCGAAAATATGTAATCTTAAAGATAGAATCGACATGTTGATGTTACAATATGTAAATAAGAATAACAAAATCTTGATCACGAAAACAGAAAAGTGTGTGTGTGAGAGGGAGAGAGAGAGTCAAAATCTATCTATATGAGAGTTATCTATCAACAGGAAATCTTGAGCTTGCATCAATATATTTAACAACTAAACGATAGATAACACAATAATTATCTTTAGAAATTGTGTTAGTTAACAATAATAGAGTTTTTAATGAGTAATCTCCATCTGATATCGAATCATTTATAGATTTAAAAAGTGCAGCTCGCTGTATGTCGTAGAGAGAACAATGTCGTAAATGGTGTTTTACTGTTTCCTTCTCATCATATAAACAATTTTTTGTCAGGCACTAGTCCTTTGATACAGAGATCATTATTTAATGACGAGAAGTTGCATCCCATTTCATAGTATAGTTTATCTATTTCACGTTTAACACCGTAAACTCGTAAGATCCATCCGCCATCCTAAAATCCGGAGTTATTTAGTTCTACTCGTTAAATGTAAGCAACCAGTTACAACTAAAGTAAACTTGTATTGTATACTAGATATTAAAGAAAGATTTTTAGCACTAGTAGATGAATAAAGAATTAAAGCGTAAAGTAATATGGGATACGCATAATACTTATAAATTTGATCTAAAACGGTAGATTGAAATTTGCTCTTATACTGATACATTAAATATAAAATTTTGTTACATCTTGCAATTACATAATCAATGTGTTTTTTCCAATTTAATTGGGTGTTAAAAAAAGACCTAAGTGTTTATGACTTAAAGCGTCAAAGAGAGCAGTTCCATTTCTTATAAGCGGTAATGTGAGTGACGTATCCAATACTCGCTTACCAAAAGTCGTGGTTTCACATTTCTTAACATTAAGATCTATCTGCCAATACAAGGACCACTCATAAACACGTTTCAAGTCTTCATTCAAAACATCAGTTGCTTTTTCAATTGAAGTATCAGTAACGTGAAATAAAACATCATCTGCAAACAGTCTCGTTACTGATTTCAAATTTAAGACAATATCGTCAATATAAATGAGAAATAACAGGGGTCCTAAAATAGATTCATGTGGGACTCTACGATTAATCTTTCTCCTAGAAGAAGTAGTACCGTTCACTCGTGTTTCTATAAATCTACCAGAAAGATGTGAAGGAAATCGTTTTAACATATTAGATGATACACCTTTTTGTTTTAGCTTGTAGAGTAAGTCAGCATGCTAGACCGAATCAAAAGCTTTTTTAAACTCTAGAAAAATTGATCTGGTTAGTTTCTGATTTTCCATTCCTAACTCCACAGCATGAACAAAACCAATTAATTGATTAACTGTAGAATTACGATGGCGAACATGAGATGGAGATGAAGCTAATGGGCTATTTTTAGTTACATAATCATAAAGACGGGAATATACTACACTTTCCAAAGGTTTTGAAAATACATACAGTAAAGTAACAGGTCTATGATTATTCGGCTGCTGGCGTTCACCGTCTTTGAAAAGTGAAGCAATACATCCTATTTTAAATGAAGACGGAAACGTTCCTTCACTAATGAATTGATTTCAAATATCTGCTAACGCCTCGTTTATGACATCACTAGATTCTTTAACCATTCTGTCACTGCCTTTTGTTTGCATTTAACTTTCATAATATTCTTTCCACCTCAACTGGACAAATTTTTTCTGTAATATCAAATTTAGTAAAGAAAGAGGAAGGATGTCGGAAGGAATAAATCTGCACGCGTCTTTATCGCCCACTCATAGTACAGGTAGATGCAAAGTGTTCATTAAAGATTTCAGCCTTAGCAAAGCCGCTATAAATCAATTCTCCTGCAGTATTTTTCAATTTTTTCATTTGTAGAGTTAGAAAAGTAGAATGAAAAGTAGAATTAAGGTCTTGAAAAACTAAGTAACGGTAATAATTGCAATCAGTACATTTATAACTGAAGATTTTCCTTTGGTATGAAGTTTGTTGAACAGATTTTATCGAAAGAACAATGTTTAAAACTTAATGATCACAGGAAAGAATTAACGGAGGTAGAGCAGAAGACGTTTTTATTAACGAAACATTATTAGTAGCAAACAGAATTTGACGCGGATTACGAATGTGTAATGGGTTTTCAAAAATATTGGAGGACGGAAAATGGTCTTATCCGCCTTTTTTCTTTTTATTCCTCCTCTGTATTTACCTGTTCGAAATATACCGATAAGCAGGTATGTGTACCCGGTTTTAGACACCCGAGTTTCTGTTATCGATTTCTCAATAGAGCCCAGATTTCTTTAGAATAACTCGAGAACAAAAAGAGATAGAGAGTGCTAGTTTCATATTTAAACAAAATGGTTTTTGAGAAAACCTTATGCTCAAAAACCTGGTTTTTGATAACGGCATATGTTTTCCCGACTCAAAGCAGGTTCATTCGATAAGGTATTCGAGACTGTATATTCCATATCCTTTTCGTATTGGCAATGCTTGTTGTTTGGCCGTGAGGAAGAAAATACGGATCTAGTACGTGATTTTTCAGGTTTTTCGAGGTTAAAGCGATCTTTTACAGTGAAAATCAACATTTGGAACAGTTTAAATGTGATATTCAAAAGGCTGATACGTTCTGTAGTATATCTAGCTGATTTTGAATGTTACCAAACATCATTTTGGGGCACTAAAACCGCATAAATTCAATTAGATCACCAACACCTTCTTCTGGTAAAACTCGATTTTTCCGATCAAGATTCAACTTTTTCGATTATCGACCTGATATTCGCAGAGAGCATCGAATGATGTATCTTTCATTGAATTTTTTCGAAGTTCCAGGGGGATCGTCATAGAGGCGAAAATTTTTCGAGAAAAATGAAAGTCAACGTTCGATTGAATCAGATTCGTCATTCGATGCACAATTTTACGCGGATCAGGAATATGTAATTGGTTTTCAAAAATATTGGGCGACTGAAAATGGTCTTATCCGCCTTCCTTCTTTTTATCTTATTAAACTCTTTTTAAAACTTTACTCATCAAACCACAGCAACAGGCCATTGGCTATCACGCAATGAATGAATGACTTTTGTCTGATTATTTTTGACTGAGCTAAAAGCTTCTTGAAATGAGGACTGGGACTTCAAATTTTAATTAAAATTTAATTAATAACTGTGTGAATAGTTACCAGTTGATCAGAAAACTTTGTAATGAAGTGTCCTCTTCAAATTGATATAGGTTGAGGGCACATATAGGGAGTGTGGACCCCCTCTTAACTGCAATGTGAAGCTCTTGTCAGAGATTCTGCAATGACGAAAGTACGTTTATGACCTCATAAACGGTGGAGATATTGCGATGTGTCCCATCACACTGTAGAACATATCGAAATATTAGGGAGGGGGTAGACTCCCCCTTAAGTGGATGTAGGCTCCCGTCCTGTTTGGTATCTTTATAATAAAAATTGTTTTTGTTTCTTTTTATTGTTCATTTCGTAGCAAGATACGTGAATCAAATAGAGGTGTTCCTCTTCTTTCTCTAAGAGCCATCAAACCGAGAAGCATAATTGCTCCCGTTAAAGAAACTGCAAGTAAGATAAGTGCAGCCAGCACACCGCCAGATACCTTGGTATTAGATTCATTTACCATAATCTGTTCGATACTAATTTTGTTGGTAATAAATAAACTTTCTGTTCCATATGTTAAACAACTTAATTTGAATACTTCACTAACTGGACGAGTATATCCTACGCATGTATTGTTTTTGCAACTTTCATAGCCACTTACCGTATTTGCTCTTACACAATCTGAATCACTTGTACAACGCTCTTTTGAACCACTATATACATTGTCAATAACAAAATATGGCTCTGACATATAGACACGTCCTCTTAGTAAATTTGCAGTTGATGACCGTGCATAAAGTCGTTGAACATTTGGTTTTCCGTAAGCAATACGGTCGGGTCCACTCAATTTCGCAAATTGGTCTAAGATCGCATCTAAATATGCTGAATGAAATGGAAACTCTTCGTCGCCTTCGTCGGAATCGTCGGAATCGGTACTGTTTAAATCTCCAAAAGTACCTATCGGTATAATACCTTTTTCTAATACAGTTTTTAGTAATCCTGTGGCTTCGGCACGATTTGGAATAGGAAATTCATCGGTATTGTCAATTTTACAGGTTCTCACATCAACTATATTCTCTTGATATTTCGCAGCTAGATCAAACTCTATTCCTTGTGCTTGAACTTTCATAATCGCTAAATTAATTGCATTTCGAAATTCTTTTCCTGATACTTCAGGAGCAGCGCCGTGTGGATATTCACTTGAAACATCTGGTAATGTAAAAATTGCATGGCCTGATATAATACCACTTCTTATAACATTCAAAACGGCATTGTCTTCTTCTGAAAGTGAGACTAAACATCCGGCCATATAAGATCCATTCTTCACGCCTTGTATTATTAATGAGTTGTTATTAATTAAAACATATTTGAAATTAACTCCTTTGAATAAACTTCTTGTTGACACAAGATTTGCATTCGAATAGAAAGCAATAATTGAATTGTTTGACTTATCTAAGGCTTTTCTCAATTTTTCCAATGAATTTAAATTAACATTTTCCAATTGACCCAAACAAAAAGGACTTTCCAGATATAATAAACTTAAAATCAAGAAATATTTGCTTGCATAATTCATCATTTTTATCATCATTATCATGTATCAGTTTGTAAGAGTCCTTTGTAATGATTCTTCTTTAACTGATTGAAGATTAAGGGATTTTTATTATATATATACATATATGTATTAATTATGTGTATCACAAGTGAAGCAGATTTAATGATTAGTCAATCGGTTGTTTTCTTCCAGGTTATAACCAATTTTGGTTAGATTCACATTTTCTCTACATAAACCCGTACATTTGATTGATATTTGCGAAAAGACATAAGACTAGATAAATAACATTTACAGCTTTCTTCCCTAAAACGAAGGGCAGTTGATTCAGTTGAAATTGAATTTTGTTTTCTTATATCTCACGCACACATTCTTTCACCAGTCTTGTGTGCTTCCGTTCTTTTCTCTTTCTCATGCTCGTGCTTTCTTTCTCCATATACTGTTATGGAGCATGTTTTTTTTTTCATAAAAAAGAACAACATAACTTCATTTTATTCTTCGTTATGACAAATACAAGCACGTTGCACACTAAAAAAACTGGATCAATTATTGAACTGACGAGGGAACCTCTCCAAGTGAAGGAGCGTTTTTTCCTCGAAACATACATGACTGTATGTAATCGACAATGTTAATTCCAAATATCATAGTTGGAGCGGCCCATGTCGTTTTGGAAACCCGGTTTTCCAGAAAACCAGTTTTTCAGAAACTCTAAAACTAACTGAAACCTTTTCTTAATCAGTTACGATTGTAGCCCGCAAATTTCTGATTAGAATGAGACATCTCCCAGCTCTATACTACCTTTCTTTGCAAAGTTATAGAATTTATAAGAAAAGACCTAAATTTAGTTTGTCTTTTTCCTGTAGCTTTGAGCTGACAATGAACTTTCACT